GTGTGCGTTGTGTGTGTTATCATTCATGTATGTGTGCGTTGTGTGTGTCATCATTCATGTATGTGTGTGTTGTGTGTCATCACTTCCTGTATGTGTGTGTTGTGTGTCATCACTTACTTATGTATGTACAGTATGTCTTTATTCTTTAAATATGAAATTTTGTCAAGTTGACACACTGGAAGTCCTGTGGTGTGAAGTCGCTGTTATAGCTGTGGTAGTTAGTATTATCCTGTTATTATTATTGATATCATAAGTGGAACTGTTACTTTTCATGGCGTTTCAGCAGCCAGGACATTTTTGTAACCGTGTGTCAGGACGTGGTGGAATCAGGCACACACACATTCCCTGTTACTGCAGGATTTATGAGGGCGGATCAGAAAGTAACACAAGTTCCCATCAAACAACTGAGATATGGACTTGTCTAGCAATTCACATTATTAATTGATTATAGTTTTACCTTTGAATTAACATTTGAGTTTTATGTCACATGTAATTATTTTGTATGGTCACAAACAAAGGATTGCCTGCGCTCTGGAGGCAACAAGATGTAGTTCACATTATATGAAAACTTACGTGTCTTCATCTTTATGTGCTGTTAACTTCGTAAATCGCCAAAACTTATTCATGAAAATTTGAGGAGTGTTTGTGGAGAATCTGCTTGTTCATGTAACACAGATTACTTGATTACTTGATCCTGGGAACAACATCATAGCATTCCGGGCATTGCCATACGTACTCCGCTTCCTGCTCCAATATCCACCTCAGAGTCCATAACACAGATTGTAGTTTGGTAAGAGACTTTAGTGGAGGGAGAGCCGCTGTTTTTGATGACCTACATTTTGCCACCCGAATTTCTCTGTGAAAATCATTAATGACAATATGTTGTTGGGTCGGTAGTCTAGTGGTTGGGCTACTGGACTTGTAATCATGGGGTTGGGGGTTTGAGCCTCAGGCCCAATGTTGTGTCCTTGGGAAATGCGCTTTACATGAATTTTCCTCACTTGAGCCAAGTGTGAATGGGTACCCATTTTAACTACAGTGGTTTCCAGCCAATACCACATCTGGGGGAAAGCATGATCAGCCTGAAAGCATGCTACAATTGTGGAACGGAATTTTTCGGATATAGTTATCATTCATAAGTGCAAGTTTCAAGTGGACAACTCCGTCTAATAGCACGTTCATTCCAGTACTAGTGTAAAAAATGGAGCAGCCATAAACAGGACTCGTATTTAGAACTGATGGAAACGGAGCAAACACCATATGCCCTGACTTGACATAGGAAAATGGTGTGAGAATTGTGCAAGGGGGAAAGCCAGTGCGTGGCAGGCAGACAGTGTGAGAGGGCTATGTCATAATTAGGACAAGTGTTGCCTATGATTACACTGCACAGGAAAACTTCACACTTCTTGATGAGCTCAGCTCAGTGATGCAACTTTCCACAGGAGATGAGATGGGAGGTGGTTTACTATCTTTGAAATTCCGCAGAATCCAATACTTACCCTAGATTACTGTCTGTCAAATTCACTTAAGATCACTTTTAAGAGTATGCTTTTCTTGTTACCCAAGGTGTGTACTGTTAGCTGGAGACCACTGTATGTGCAAAAGGTACTGCCTCAGTTGAAAAATGCTGTTGATGAGCAGAGACCAAAGATCAGAACCTCTCACACACTGGTCTTCCGCAACAAAGCAGCTCCCTGCAGAGTAAGGGCCACAACTCTATGCATACAAAAGCAAAGGACTCAAATCTTTCCATACAAAGCCTACAATGTTGGCTCCGCTCCCTGTGGTTGCTTGTTATTTCTTATTCTGAAAGATAAGCTTACTGAACGAACGTTTGAAACCATTCAGGACCTAGCAAAAGCTGCCAATTCAGAATTGTAAAGCGTACCAGGAGCTGATTACATCTGTGCATTCCAGAAGTGGCTGTGGATGCTGAAATCCTGCATACAAAGTCAAGGAAAATATTTTGAGGGGCTTTCATGTCCATAGAGTTACAAATTTAAAAAGATGTTTCACTATTTCCATTTCTTTTTGATCCACCTTCGTATGTTTACAGCTGTGCCATTGTGACAACTCATTGTGACTTACATTTTATTGTACCATTACTTGACTTTCTATCTCTCTGTCGTTTCTCTGTCTTGTTTTTTCTCCAGCAGCAAATTACTGCAACAGTGTCGTTGTGCTTTTCTTTACTCAAACTCAAACTTGAAATGACTAATCAATTCCCTCTGACTTTGTTCATGCCTTAATCATGCAAAATGCCAACATGTAGCATGTTTGTCAAACTTTTTGTCATGTTTTGCATATGTTTGTATATTTTAGCTTGTCTGTCATCATTTTTAAAGTACAGTGTATACAGTTTTTACAATTTTACAGTATATAAAGTTTTAACAATTTTACAAGAGAGCCAAAAAACTGAATATTGTTTAAGAATGCAATGTTGATACAGTAGTCTCCGCCTAAATGCACACCATACAAAAGCAGGCTCCGCTCAAATGCACGCTTTCATCACATGACGGGTTTTTTTACTATATAATGATGTACAAGCGCTCGGTCACTTCTCCTGAACACACGCTTCGATCCATGAAGCACGCCGACAGGCAAAGTTTGACAAAGGGAAATGTTGGCTACAAGCTGCACAGCTTGCATAAGACAAGCATAGAAAACCGGATATTTGGTGAGAACGCCCCTCACACCGAACAAAGAGAGTGATGGAGAGTGTTTTCACACCCAACTTTTGACGGATACATAGTTCTAGGACTGGTCGGGTGTTGG